TATCCTAGACCAGGCACCGCCTTGTGAAATCATAACGCCGTGCTCACCTCATTCGCATCCAGTGGATAGAACACATGCAGATGCCCGCGAAATTCGATCAGGGTACACAACTGGGTCAAGTCTTCACGACACATGGTCACAATACGAGTCAGTGGTCCCGGAGCCAATAGCTCCTGCGTCCCGTCGGTTCCCAGGGCATCGCATGCGGTCACATTGGTTCGGTTACTGCCCGGGTGGTGTAGACGTTTCGATCGAACATCTTGTTGTCCTGTGAATCAAATCAGGTCACCGAAAGGGATACGAAAGTCGGAGGTGGGGAGAGTAGATATGAGTGTACATGCTAAATGAGGTTACGCGATATAGAAAAGTTAATGTTATTATTATTATTAGCGGTAATAATGATACTGTTAAGAATGACAGTTATTCTTGAACTTCTGCGGTATACACAATCAACCTTTAAGACGAGGGCTACAACTAGTTGAAAGCGCATGGGATTTAACCCTAATAAATTATCGTCTAATGATCTCATGCAGACGTTTCTAATTCCCTTTTCCTAAACAGAACCACCTCAGGAAAAAACGCTGGTTGCCTTCTTGTTGTTTACACAAAATATTCGAAATATTGTGTTAGCTACTAATCTGGCAAGTGTAGACGACTACAGACAGGTCAGCGGTCAGTGTGGCCAAACAACACATGACGCGTCTCGAGATCATGAACAGGCGAACGGTCACTTAGGTAATTAACCCTGAACTTGGTTTTATTAGTTGAACAATGGTGGACAATCAACAGTCGAGCTTGTCTTAAGCTTGTCTTAAATCTCCGCCGAAAGTATTTTGATCTCAGAAAATAGTGTAATAGCTAACATTTTTCTGCCATACAGAAAATAGTTGAATGTCCAAGGCCCACAGGCCGAGTATCATACTGCATGTATTTTTGACCCGTATTCTCAAACTTATTGATGGATTAAACATTTATAAAACCTACTTATTCACTATTAAGAGTCTGTCGATTAAAATGAAACAGGTCACCGTTTTTTTTATTGTTTTCCCAAATCATTCTACCCCCATCGTGATTCGTCACTTCGAAAAAAAAACTTGATCTTTAAGTGGGGACACAACGCATAGAGCTCAATTGTATGTGACTTCTGATCCCTTGGAAAAACACGACTTGATGTTTTGTTGAAGCACTGAATCCACTTCGGATTTCATTCAGTGAAATTGAAAGGAGATTGCTCTTGTCTACTGCATCCAATACGCATCCATCGGATGGTTAGGAATGACTGCCACAGCAAAAGTGAGTGATTTTGTGTTAAGGGAGCGGAGCAATGTGCGTTCGAACACAATATAAAAAGTGATTGCATTCGCGACAACAGTCCGGTTTTCATCACGTCACCAACGAAATGCCTCAGTCATCGTGTACTTTGACCGGGCATCGTGGTTTCCTGAGAAGCTTTCGACTGAAAACACAACCATATCTTCAATTGAAGAAAAAGTAAATGATTATCAGTAGGGTCAATATTCTATCATGCATTAAAGCGTTACAGATGAAGGAGAGTGATTGGTGTGCGACCACACAGCTGAATCAATAGTTCTAAACATTTATGTCCGTTCGGATGAACTTGATTTTAGTCAGTCACATGAAAGAACAAATCAAGGGTTTTCTAGTCGAGGGAAAAATCTACCCCGTTCACTGATGTAATTTTATTAACACATCCAGTGTTATTCAAATGAAGTTCAGCTGAGAAAACAATAATACTGATGCCACTACTCTTAATTCCACTCTTGTGGTGAGGTACTACTTACGTTATATGTGATTAGTATGTTTGGTGCGCGCAAGAGGAAACGGTCAGTGGATTCTCGCCTCATTGAACAATGAAAAAGACATCTCAGAGTAAAGTGAATGGGTAAGTATTGTTTGGATGTAACTAGGCTGTTTCAGATTGTATTATTTTTTTCTTTCACTGGGCAAGTCCACACATACACACACACACACATCACCACCACCATACTTGTGCATTCATAACATTACTATCAGTAATATCATTATTATTTATGTTGTTTCTTGACTTGATTGACTTTTCTCTGAATAAAGGCCTCCAAGTCTAGCCAGATTCATGGTTTTTTATATTGCAAACCTTTGCATTCCAATGCACTCCTCGATAGAACTACCAGTAATGTGGCATTGATGAGCTGCAGGTTCGGAAAATTTCCACCGAAAAATTTACTGAAAAAAATAATAGCAGTGGTGATTTAGATGGTTAGGATCAATTTCAGACTCTCCTGGAGGTTTGCATCTTAAATATGTACCAACAGCAACTGATATTTCCTTTCTGTTGCCCAGTTAGTATCTCCCGATTAGAAGCAGCCCCTCGTCTCTGCCTCCTCCTCCTAGAAGCGACTTTTACAAGTCCATTAGGTAAAAGCATTTCTACTCAGCTCTATCATGAGCTGGTTGGCACAGTAGTAGTTCACACACCCTCTGGATGATGTGTGTGGAGTTCAAATGGCTAACCGGACGGTAGATATGCACTACTGATGAGTTTTAATAAGAGCGAAACTCCAGTCTGGCGCTTCCTAGTGTATGGCTGATTGGAAAAGCTGGGGAACGTGCGTGAAGGTGAAGTCCAAGATGGTTGGTTAGTTCCACCTTGTAAAGTAACAGAATGAATGAACGATCTGCAAAACATTTGACATCGGAGACTGATCCATTAGTTGTACATAGTTGTTCTCCAACTTCAACTAACCTTCCGAGAAATATATATATATATAGGTAAGACATTTTAATTTCTGATCATTATTTGGCAAACCGAAGCAATACACAGAGTTTCGAAGAGCAATCAGAGGTAAAGGATGAAAAATGTACATACTATGTTACACCAGAATCTAAGGATTCCCTATTTCAAAGCTACAGATTATCCGACCAGAGGACTTTTGAAACTCGCAAAGAAACGCACAAGTGATGACAGTAACGTGCTTCATGTTAAGCGACAAAAGCGGAGTGAGATTAATTGTAGATCACAACCGTTTCGAACCAGAAGTCAAAAGGATTGTCATATAATTTCACAATTGCTAGCCCTTCGGTTGTTGCTTCTTATGTGACCAGATTCAGCAGGAAAACGGATTGAGGGATTTTGTATAACTGAGACGCGCAACAGGCTGAAAGACAATCTTGTATCATTTCCGTATTTATCATGCTTTATTTTTTATTATCTGTCCATTTTTTCTGATGATTTAGAATGATAGAATAAATGCTTCCTGAATTGCAATTAAAAAACTTTTACCTCACCCTCACGGGTAGGGCTTTGAACTTGATTTGACTTTGTTATCCTTGACTGCCCGCCTGAAAATATACTCTTTTTATCTTTCGGTAAAGTGTTGCACTCCAAACATCAAACTGAACAACATAACTCCGAGCTAGACTACCCGAGCTATAAACAAATGCCAATCACGCTATAAGACTCACCTGCTAACGGTGATTTGCCAGTGCGTTTGTTACGTAACCACAAAATCTGTTGGATGCAGCTTACTTTGGAGCGACTGAGTGCCTCTCGGTAAAAATGGTTATGTGTAGCGCTCCATAATGCCCGAGAATCTGAGGTATACAGTCTATAGTGTGAAAGCAACGCTCCGCCTCCGCACCGCATACGTCATGGAATCAACAAAAAGCGACGTACTTTCGCGTTGCCTTCTTCGTTCGCACGTCAGTGATAAAAGAGCCAGAGAAAAGTGCATGTTTTTTAGATCCGTTTGTCATTTGGTCTCACTTTCTCTCTCTCGCTCTGGCGCTCGCAATCACGAATACCATTGTGGCGGTCATTTTGAAATTCCACAACATCCGTTGGATGAAGCGATTGCAACGGAGTCGGATCTTTTGTTGATCTCTCAAGTTCACCGTGACAAGTGTAGCTGAGATCATGTATTGTGGTCACTTACAGCAAATGGCACTCACTGTGAAAGACGTGACGTTTTCAGCTTGATGTACGCATGCACAGACACACCTCAAAGTTAATTTTGAAATCGATGCGTAAGCAACACGGATACGCGCAGTTTTTGATGGAGTTTGATCACGATTTACGTGAGTTCGTACGCTTCTATTCCGATAGACCGATGAACTAAGTGGCTATCCTTTTGGGTTTTAATACTAAGTAGTATGACAACCAGAGCGTAAATGTTACTCAGCAGTCTAAGTCAATTTTTGTTCTCTGCGTATCAGTATTCTTGGAAGCATTGGAGCCGATAATGGCAAATTAGACTCAATTTGGACGTGTGGAATCTTGTGAGTGCGGTACACTACTGTTAGCTTGTCGATGAGAAACGAATAGCTCGTTCTCTTCGATTGGCTGTGCTACACTTACACGTTCTCTGTCACATTGTTAGAATTTTCACATTTTCGCTCGGTATCATGCGGGATTATATTATTTGTTTCAAACATGCCTGGACATCTTTTGTTGGGTTCATCGGTTTGTACGGCCCAATTTCTCACTTTCCAGGTTAGACCAAATAACCCATGCGTGCAGGATGGCAAGTTGCTCTTAATTGCACCCTTTTGACCAAGATGACTGTTCCCTCATTGGTCAGCGCTAATACTTGATCCCTATTTCCAAAAATGTNGAATTTCACCAGTGTCCACCGATCAATAATTCATACGAACACGTGTGCAGTCTGTGTTCAAGAATCCTGGTTGAATAAGGATTTAGATGACTCTCTAGTGTCAATAGACGGTTTTCAAGTTTACCGACAGAATCGTAAAACCGGAGGAAAAAAGACTGGAGGGTTTATTGTGACATACGTCAACGTTTCGCCGGTGTGGTAAGGCCCATGCTGTTTTTCAGTACTGCTCAAAAGGTATTGAGTGTCTAACCGTGCAGTGTTACCCGAAGTTTTCCGGTTTTACCCACACAATTTTCACAAAATTGTATATAGCACCTTACTGTATACAACCAGATCGTATGTCATTTTTCGATTCATTCATACCTTTTATTGTCCTACTTTTAGATGGTAATCGTTGTCGACTTTAACCACACTAGTAATTTTTCTTTTTATTATTGGGTATGACAGACCTTTGTCACTCTCCCACAAGAGATAATTCTATACTGAACAGAGTAATTATCAACCACTCAACCCGTTTTTTCTTTAGCACAAAAGGCACCTATTTCCTACAATAACCACTGTTTACTCTTATTTCGGCCTGAAGTTTATTCACACTGAGCATACAAATCTTTCTCTCGATCTGACCATATCAGATTTCGTTTTTGTAACTTCTCATCTA